AACGGCAGACAGATAGACGAACATTGACTCACTTTATCACGTTGATCACTTATCTATATACGAGGTGTGTTCAAAAAGTATCGCGAATTTTGTGTTTTTTCAAAAACTATTTATTTATTCATGAATATCTATTTTGTCCCCTTCAAAGTAATCTACAATAGATATTATACACTTGTGCCAACGGGTTTTCCAATCTTCGAAGCACTTCAAAAAATTATTATTATTTTTTTTTTCATAATAGATATTTATACACGAAATCAATTTTCTGTGAAATCATCTTTATTTCTATTAATTGCACTCTACCACAAGAGCGATATCTCCAATTTATAAAAATATAGATTATATACTCACTTAACTTATTTTCAATGCCAATTCCTCCATTCAGCACAAATATCGCGCCACCCAACGCTTAAGAATGAAGTGAATTATTATTAATAATTTTTATTGTTGAACTTTCGGTAATAAATTTTTCACAACAATTATTTTTCCGCTATCAAGCAATCAATAACTGCATAACGGTTACAACGCACACAACATACAAACATATTGTTCTGAGTGTGTGTGCCCACGAAGACACACTCATCGCCCATCAAGTTGGCGAGAACAAGTGGCAATGACGGCGTCATGGGCAGCACTACAAGAAACGACAGCAACAACACGCTCACATTTGTGCACGCAACGGTAAATTTGCTTTTACCCTAGCTGCTCTTGAAAATGTGCGCGCAGTCATAGCCGATCAGCATTTTCCTGCAGTGCCGCCACGGCACGGGTATGGCTTGCAACGCTTAACAGCTCATGGTGGCGAAGCTAATCGTTTGCCGGCTCGAAATTAATTTCCAGTTTACAGCAAAGAAACATAGTACATATTTCTTGCTGTTGAAAGATTGTGTCTTAAGTCTTTAGTGCCCGGTTGGTAGGAGGAAATAAATTTCTACACTAACTCTAGTATAATATATAAGGGTGTAGGTATGTATAACTCTGCGAAGTGTGTGTACAGGAATGCTCACCACTCATCGGTTAAATATTTTATTGTGTAACAGTGAATATTTACTATTTGCGCGGGAAGCATTACAAGCTCAGTACTTTACAAGTTATTGCTGAATTAAGTACGAACAGAAGTTGTTAGGATTTATGGCAGTGCTTGGTGGATTAAATGCAATATTTCTGCATTCTTGTATTGAAATATTATGTTGCAATAAAGACCGAGCGATTTATTGCATTTCTCATATGTGTGGGTGATTCAATTATGCAAATTTTACTAATTAAAAAAAAAGAATTAATTTATAAAAAGTCCTATTTTTTGTATACTATACAGTGCATAGTAAATACAGTAATTAAATTTGACACGCAATAATCTCTTGCCTACACATAATCTTGAAGCAAAATAATGAAGAAAGTATTATATAAACTTCAAAATACCACAATTTATTTATTTTCAAACTCTCTCAAACAAGAGGGTATAATTATGAAATCTGCCTATTGCCTACATTGCGGAGCTTTAGTAAAATCTTAAAACAAAATAATGAAGAAATAATATTATTAAAATTTTGTAATAAAAGTCTCTCAACTTCAGAGGCATAGTAATCAGTTATGGCAATCAAAAATATCTTGCCTACATTTAGGAGCCTAGATGAAGTCTCGAAATGAAATAAAAAATTAAATATAAATACTTTTACAGAGAGACAGTTCTAGCTTTTCTGGAGGCAAAAATGGTATATGCCTTCATTTCAAATAATACATATATGTATATTGTAATAATAATACATATATATATAATAATTGAAATCTGGGTACGTTAGGAATAACCTTCTTTAATTGTTATAAAATCTGTCAGTTATTTTTAATATTATATTACCATAAATAATGAATTAAATTTCACAATAAAGCTTCATAGTATTCATATATCAAACAAACAATCAAAATCTAAAAATTAGAAAATCCAACTAACAAGCATCTCTTGCAATATTTACGAGCTTGTATTTCGTTTTATAACCTATAACTTATCAGCTTACACAAGTCATTTCCGTGCTAGTTACAAGCAATTACGATGCACAGCAACGCAGTGAATTGAAGAAGCTTAAACAAACAATTGCCGCAACAGACCAAAAGAGCTAACAAAAATTGCAGTGAAACCGAGCAAATGCATTGGCGTTATACCAAAGAGGAACTACGTATAATAAAACGCACGAAATATATGAAAAATATAAAAAAACTAAATTTTATAGTTTATGTATGAAATTTATACTTTACTATTGCAAGAGTAATCATACGCAGTGGCGGCCCATAGGTCAAAACGGTCAGTAGACAGTCAAATTAGTTATGACGAAGTCAAAAGCCAAGCAGTTGGTAGGCATATGAGCCTTATGAGACTATAATGTATGTATATGTATATATGCTTATGGAAATTATGTATACATATGTATATGGTAGTCCAACTGTTGCTGCAATTTGCTTGGGTCGCTTGACAATACCAACTAATTGCTTGGACTTAATCACCTCGCAATTACTGCTGCGCGCATGACAATTGCACAAATCTATCACACACACACGAACATACATATACATGCATAATCAAAGTTTATACGCCTGCTGCGCCAGCGCCAAGGGGCGTGGGAAAATTTCAAAATTAGCGTATACTATACTACTGCATATACACGATTTTTATGGCCTGTATGACTTATATAACGATAGTCTAAAACAACGAAATTATTTCTCGATTAAGGTAAGGTATAGCTGTGTGCATAGTTTCCCTGTTTTATCGCTCCAAATAAATGTAAGCGCCGCGTGACGCGCTGCCAAGCCAGGATTTTTAATGCTCGCATTGTCTGTCAGTCAGTTAGTGTGTTAGCGTCAGCAACTGTCATTATTTCCAGTTGGGTGTATGTTGGACAGTTTAAAAGCTTTACTGCTGATAGTCACAAGGAAGTTCACTTCTGCGCCGAAACCAGCTTGATGCTGTGCGTTGTTACGCAACTTTATGCGTAATTCATCAGGAAAAGTGAAATTTATGCGTTGGACACACATTGCGGCTGAGAAGTGGCTTTATTCGAATGGAATTTTTAATTTTTATTTTAGAAATTGACTTGCGTGGATTAATGTCAAAATTTATGGGTACCTATAAGGAAGTGGTGTAATGGTAATTGAAATTAAATTACTCGTACTGAGTTCATAAGGAAATTGTCAGTTGGCGAAATAGGAATTTTGTGAGGTTTTCTTTATTTTTCTTAAATTTAAAATTTATTTTTTAAACTATTTGACGCATTGCTTTACTTCGTTACATATATCACTTTTATGCCAACAAATTTTAATTAACAAAATTTCATTTAATATTTCTTATTGCAGAACCACCTTGTAGTTTTCCTGGTTCACCAGCCCACAGCACAGTCGTATTTTCCAGCGCGAACTTGACGCATGGCACTGTTGCATCCTATACATGCGAGCGCGGCTTCGAGTTGCTGGGACCGGCGCGACGTGTTTGCGATAAAGGCACATGGGTGCCGGATGGCATACCATTTTGCGGTAAGTTGAAATACAACAAAAATTTATATACATAGACATACAAATACGTATCGAAATTATCGATAATATGCAAATATATCGAAAATTCTTAAAATGTACAGTTTAGGTATTGATTCAGATCATATTTATGGAAATTATCGATAATATCAACAAATGTTATAATATATATACCGATAACTCTCATTTATCGAAATAGTCGATACTAAAATATAAAAAAACAAATTCTAGATATAGAAGTATGTACTTATATTTTTTTTTTTAAATCAAAAAACAAAAGAAATTCAACGGAACAATCGATATTTATCGCAAAAAATGGGTAGTAATCATTTTTTAAAATTTAGTAATTAGTAAGTTTAAATGCAGTCAAAATTATTTCAATAAATTTTGCAATGAAAGTATCTACACAACTCATTTATGTCGGAACAATCGATAATATTAACAAATGTTCTACTAAATATATCGATAACTCATATTTTTCGATATAATCGATAACTAAATATTCAAAAACCACAGCATCACTAAAGAAGTATGCATGTTCTTACAAATTTGTTGAAAATTCCAAAATAATTACATTCAACGAAACAATCAATATTTATCGAGAAAAATATAAAAGAATAACTTGTATAAATTTGATAATTAATAAGTTTAAATGCAGCAAAAATTAATATCAACTGATTTTGAAATGAAAATATCGATAAAACGCATATGTATATATGGGAATAATCAATAATTAAACTTTTCGAAATTTGCGGTTTTTAAACTAATCTAAATAGTCTAAACAGATTAAAAATGATGAAATGCAATGAAACAATCGATATTTATCGAAAAAGATTTAATGGAATAGTATTATAAATATTTTTTTTCTTCCATTTTTAAGCCTCAATGAAATATATAGAGTGCGCTAAGATATGATAATATTTTTAATCGCATGTATCTCTTACATTAACATTATCGATAAATTGTAAAAATATAATTTTCGGTTGAAAAATTTAATTTGTGTACAAATAATTGTCAAAGAAACCATAATGAATTTGCATTTTTGTACTAATAACTAATCGATATTTTCTATACATATGAATGTATATATCATTTTTGATAACATTTATTAAAAATTTTAAATAAAATGGTTGTCAGAAGTGTGGATACATTATTGATATAACGACAAATAATATAACATATTTACTGCTGGTCTTAAATTACAGCTCAAAAAATATAAAGCGTATGCATTGATCAAATGAGTCGAATATATTTATACTAATATTACGATTTATAAATATGCATTTAAATACAGTCACGTTAGTTTTACCATTCTATAATATTTTACTCTATTCTATAACCAAATAGCAAATTTAAATTGGAAAGTTATCGAAATATCGATAATTTATCGATTAATTATAAAAGGAAAATGTTCATATTTACGACATGCTTTCACCATTATGATAATTGCATACCAAAATTCCCATAAATCGTTTAATAAGGCAAAAATTTTACTAAAATTTTGAAAATATCGCTTTTATCAAATAAAAAATCGATAAATTACCGACGTTAAATTGATACTTGTATGCTAAATTTCCATGAAACGTTTAATAAAACAACAAGATTCCTAAAATTTTGGAAACGTTGGCTTTATCGAATAAAAAGTCGATAAATTATCGATGTTTAATTGATACTTATATCAGAAAGTCTACACCTTAGATAAAGCAATATCTCTACTGCAACTTTTTACATGCCGGCAAAAGGCAATCAGAAATATTAGGCCAACAAATGTTGAATGGGAGAAATACCAACTTCTGCAATCGATGTTAAGTCAAAATTCATTAACAAAAATATTAAAAATCTATCCAATGATGAATTATACCCATATAATATATATTAWTCAGTAAATCATACATACATACATATGAGCAACCAAATATTACTATGAAATACTCGCGGTCTGAGGTAATATGAAGTCAGCAATTAGTTGTTCAGACATTTGAGTGGCAGAAAGGGGACGACAATCATAATTTTTTTTTTTAATTTTTTTTTTCAATTTTTTTTTTTTTTTTCTGGCCACACGCAAGTGCCACAAATCTAAACACAATTTGGTCTCCGTTAACGGATCAGTTAACGGGCCACGCCAATGCAACGAAAATGTAGCACACTTATCACGCAAGGCAATGAAATATACTCACATTTGTTGCTCTTCCACAAATCCTCTTCTCCAATTTGTTGCTATTATCATTAAATCCACCAAACTTATTTGTTGACTTGTTTAACACAAATATTTGCAATCAAAGTGTCAAGGATATAAGAGCATGCACGCAAAAACAATTTTCTGAGCCACACTGCCTGCCAGCCAAAACTAGAACATCGCCAATTGAAAACTAAAGTATGTGGGCACGCACAAATACAAACACGCATACATGCACATTTGAATATGTGTTAAATATTTCACTCGTGTCTGGCCAGAATTAGATTACTGGTACACGAAATTTTCGTTTACTCGCGTATTCATATGTAAATGTGTAAAAAGAGGCCGCCAATTTGTTGCTGGCTTTTGAAAAAAATGCAATTGCTCGGCAAAGAAGCGTGTTAAAAGGTAGAAAAGAATGTCTTTTGAGTTTACGCTAAAAGCGAAAAGGTGTTAAATGTGCTAAATGCAAAGTGATTACGGAAGGCAGTTGATTCACTGCAGAGAAACACATATGCTGGTTTCGTCTTGAAGCTTTGAATCAGGTGGCAATTCAACCACGGCGAACGGAGATAGTGAGTATAAGTAAATTTGTGAGATGAATAAGCTCAAAGCAGTGTCGAGTAGATTTTAAAACAAAAAAATATGCAAAAAAAAAAATAATAAAAGAAATGAGGTGTACAAGTGGAAGTAGGGGAAACTTGTAGAGCAAGTAAATTTTTAAATGTCTTGAAGCATCAATTAATAGCGTAATTAAGCTTAAGTGGATGATTAAAGAGCAAGCAAAAGCATAATTTATTGTAATACATAAACAAATTTTAAAGAATTTGTATTTTTGTATTTGTTTTTGTATTTTTTCGGCACTGCTACCGTATAAATATATATAAAAAAAACTTAAGACATTTAAACAAAAAGTAATAATTTTTCGATGATTTTATTATTTTTTCATTTTAAATAAATTTATGGAAATGAAAAAAATCTATACTCGGTTTTTATTTATATTTCAAAATATATAAAATCTCGCCTTTCTATTACTATAAAGTATGGTACAATATTATTGGTGGCACTGGAGAAATTCGAATGCAACGACATCTATTGACAAAATGCGAAACGACTTTTTCGACTACCCAAAAGATTGTGTAATATTAAAATATCTATACTTTCTTAAGGTATTTTAATGCTAATTATACCAGCATAGCTTCTATCACATCAGAGTGAGGGATCTGAATGACGATATTTTTTCGTTATTTGCGGAAGAAAATAAAAAGAAGTAAATATTGCCAAAATTTTTGACGAAAATATAAAAATTTGAAAGTAAATTCGTTAAAAAAATGTTTAAATAAAAGTTATTTTAACGAATATTTTGAAACAAAAAACAAAATAATAATTCAAAATCAAAAAAGTCGCCGAATGCACTTTATGCACTTCAGAAAAACAAGCGTACATATACTAAACACTAATTATTTTGATATGACATTTTACACAGCTGTCACTGACAATCACACCAACCTAGAAAAAAATAATATTTTGATGAAATAGTTTACTCCCGAAATTTAAATTAAAAAGTCTAACTATTTTTTGCCCACAGTACTAGTATATTCTAGCTTCTGCCAACACAAAGGTATTAATTAAAGTTTAATTTTAATTAATTTTTTAATTTCCTTTTTCGTTCTTAGTGTATACATTTTGCGGCGCTGCATTCTAATTCGATTTAATTTAACATAAAGTATTTTTTTTTTTTAAGAACCCACATTCAAGGGTGTGAAATCTATAACTATATTTGTGCGACTTTTTCAAAATCTTTGCGTTTAGTTTCGAGAAACATATACCATAGAATATTGTTAATCAATCTTTGCCTCGTCTTATAGCATTTTCTCCCTCCGAGAAACTCCCACTTTATCCAGAAAAAAAATTAACCTAAAATGTACGCTTCAGTTAGAAAATTTCGCAAATTATGCACATAAATTGCACTTGCATTCAAGCACAACCGTTAAGCTTACACCGTTGATGGTGTTGATAATCATGTTGCATGCAACAGATAAGCCATCAAAGCATCTGTCACGGTGACATTACACCAAACAGACAAACAGAGCCGAACCTGACGGCATGAATGCAAATAGCAAGCGACCGCGCTGACTGTTTGTAACAACAATCAATGCTGCAACATACACACAAACACACTTGCACTCAAGTGCACTCCTGTGCTCGTATGTTGCATATAATTATTCTAAGTAGCATGAAAATGTACAAAACGATGCTGTGTCGCCCCGGAGGCGGGCTGCAGTAGGTCAGTAGTGGCACAGCGAGCAGGCAGAAATCGGCACACATTGCCAACAGCAACAACAACAACCATAAGTACAAAGAAAGAAAGAAGTTTAAGAATAGAGTGARGAATTGCGGGATTAGCGCAGTTAATTCGAAAGTACTTGTGGACGGGCAGTTAGATATAAATGCACCGTTACGTGGAAGCGTCGAAAAAGGTCAAGGTTGATATGCAGATGTCGTTGTTTATATTAACCGCTGTTGTTGTTGTTGCCTTTCAATTGCAGCTTTTATGTTGTCGTGTTGCTGTGCTGGCAGCGCTTGATGTCGCCAACAACAATAACTCCCACTCAATTATTTATGCTTTGTGGGAATGCAAGCGTGCCTTTCGTGCTTGTTGCTGTTGCGCTTGCTAACTGCGCAGACGCAGCTGCTTTTGTATGCATAAATTTATTAATGTTCTTTGGCGAATGTGGCAAGTGGCACAGTGAATGTTTTGCCTTTATGCGAATTCTGTCGATTCTAGCGATGTTATTGCCTATTTATCTTTTGTTATTGTTTTTAG